ATGGAGTTTCTGTCGTATCTACTGGGTTGTTTTGCAAAACTGCAGCTAAAGAGATAAACATGTATTTTACAAACCAAGAGTTTAAATATTTAGCTAACATGTAAATTCACTGATAACCAGAAGGAAGTTGTTTTAAAGTTAGAGAAATAGCGTAACTTTAAAATTCATCATTTTGACTGAAGGTTGAAATTATGAGTCTGATTCTCGTTTTTTATTTCATGGTGCGAAAGGTTTTCCAGATAAACTGAAACTCGTTTCCATCATGTCAACTTTAAAATCTGGGTTATTATTTCTCATTTATTCATCGCCTGAAGTCTGAGTTTCCTGTCAGAAAGTTCTTCACAAACTGTTTGCAAAGTTAGTCTTTATTTTGAGGATTAAGATGAAATATGTCTGCTTACATGGATATTGAGTCAGACCCGACTGGTTCTGGTTCCTGAAACAACGACAGGATGAGTTCTGATCCAGTCAGACTGGATCTCTGGTGATTGGCTGCTCATTCCCTCTCTAACTTTGTTCTGGTTCTGAAGGTGCTGAGCTGCATTCAGAACCTGTTGCATCATTTCCACAGAGAGCAGGAGGGAAGCAGACAGACGGAGGATTAAAGTTCTCCTTAACGAGCTGGACAGGTAGCTCAGGTGAGCCGGCAGCAGAAGAAGAGAACCGACGGAGGAAACGAGCGGAAACTCAAAGCCTGCAGGGAAATAAACCTTCACGAGGAAACAGGAATAAGACGAAAAAATGTTCCTGGACCAGATCCACTCAGTTTTTAGCATCTTAACCCCAAATTCATCACATTTGATCATTTTTAGTGAGAAGATCCAGAATCAGCAGAAACATTGTTGGAGTGATGGGTCTGTCGGTGACTATCTGTGTTCACCAAGCAGCGCAGTGTGAAGGTGAACTCTGTTATCACCTGAATACAAAAATTAGTAACTGGCTGCCTGACAAAGACCTGGACGGGCTGGAGGTTCTGGTTCTCTGACCCGGAAGGAACAGAACCTCCAAGTTACTGAGGAGGAATGGTTGACCCCGTTGCTAGGTGTGGTTGACCCCGTTGCTAGGTGTGGTGACCCCGTTGCTAGGTGTGGTTGACCCCGTTGCTAGGTGCGGTTGACCCCGTTGCTAGGTGTGGTTGACCCCGTTGCTAGGTGCGGTTGAAGGAGGATGTTTCTCCTTCCTGTCCTCCATCTTCCCTCCTCCAGACTCTGAGGATCTGAAGCTCTTCCTCTCTCAGAAAAAACTTTTATTTGACTGAGAAAATCCAAAGCAGTTCCTGAGTTTCTTTAAGTTTCAGGATTTTTTCTGAAAGTTTTTCATGTTCAACCTGGAGGATGAAAGAATCCACAGCCAGGGATCAGCGAAGTCACAGGAATGTCGTTTAGTTACGATGGCATCAGCAGCAGCTGGTTTTACCCAGAATCCTCCAGGAGTCAGCAGTGAATTCGGCTCCAGCGTAGCGAGGCAGATCCTTGGCACGTTTTCCAGACAACCTTCATCTCATCATCATTGCCAAATGCTGCCAGCTTTGTCTGCACTCATTAGTGCGTAGCGCTCCTGTTTGGGAGGAGACAAAGCTGCAGGGGCGGTGGCAGGGTGGTGATGCGGGGCGGTGGCAGGGTGGTGATGCGGGGCGGTGGCAGGGTGGTGATGCGGGGCGGTGGCAGGGTGGTGATGCGGGGCGGGGAGCTGAGCCAGAGGTAAGCTTGCACTGGATGGCGATCCTCAGTGGAGAAACGTTGTGTTACGATCCAGTGTGTCGTTAACGGCGGCCGCTGAACGTTCCGGTTGCTGTTTAAGGAGGAATCATCTCCTGATGTTTCAGAGCAGCGTAGGAGCGCGGCCCACGCTGCTTCACTAAACCATCAGCTGCGACCCACGAGGAGCTTCACTTTATTACAACCCTGCTACAGCAGCTGCAGCTCTAACCGTCTGAAGGAGCCACAAACACAACCTTCACACCAGGATGAATATTTACCAATAAATATCTGAGAAGTGTGACGTCAAATTTCCTAAATAAACTGAGTTGGAACCAAGATGGAAAAAAACCTGCAGAGAAAAAGATCTTTATAGATATTAACTCAGTCTGAGTTCACACCAGACCAGTCCGCTTCAACCCGACTCCGGTCCGCTTCAACCCGACTCCGCTCCGCTTCAACCCGACTCCGGTCCGCTTCAACCCGACTCCGGTCCGCTTCAACCCGACTCAGCTCCGCTTCAACCCGACTCCAGTCCGCTTCAACCCGACTCAGCTCCGCTTCAACCCGACTCCGCTCCGCTTCAACCCGACTCCGCTCCGCTTCAACCCGACTCCGCTCCGCTTCAACCCAACTCCGCTCCGTTTCAACCCAACTGCGGTCCGCTTCAACCCGACTCCGGTCCGCTTCAACCCGACTCCGGTCCATTTCAACCCGACTCAGCTCCGCTTCAACCCGACTCAGCTCCGCTTCAACCCAACTCAGCTCCGCTTCAACCCGACTCCGGTCCGTTTCAACCCGACTCCGGTCCGCTTCAACCCGACTCCGGTCCGCTTCAACCCGACTCCGGTCCGTTTCAACCCGACTCCGGTCCGTTTCAACCCGACTCCGGTCCGCTTCAACCCGACTCCGGTCCGCTTCAACCCGACTCCGGTCCATTTCAACCCGACTCCGGTCCGTTTCAACCCGACTCCGGTCCGTTTCAACCCGACTCCGCTCTGCTTCAACCCGACTCCCGCTCTGCTTCAACCCGACTCCGCTCCGCTTCAACCCGACTCCACTTCTGAGTTGGGTTCATGTGTTTGTGGTATGCCTCTAAATCCGAAGCTAAAGCTACATTGCTAGCAGCAGCGAAGGAGGACAAAGACTTTTCTGAGCGATCTGATTGGACGCTGGAAAACCCTACTGCTGTGTTCAAGTTGTGCTCACAACAGCTGACCTGTCAGAAGCTTTGCAAGCCTAAATTAGCATCTGAATGCTGACATGTAGCAGCTAACGCTAATGTTAGCTGCTACATGTTCACAGTCTAGATTCCTAAAAATGTTTCATAAATGATGAGAGAAACTCTAAGAGGAACTAATCAGATCTGATTGTATTCATTCAATAACAAGAGCAGAAAAATGTTTTTTTGAATTGAAAATGCTGCTTATTTTGTTGATAAATAACTCGATTAAAATGATGAAAAAACTTGACTCAGTCACAGCTGGAGTTTTTCCTCAAACATTTCAAAATGTTTGAACCGGAACCTGCCGAACCGCCGTCATGGGGACGTTTTGGGCGTCAAAGTGGAAGAGAAACTAATTAAAATGATCGTCTGACCTCCAGTGCTGGAGGGAAGGTTTCCATTACTGAAGGTGTCTAATGGCTATGACCTCCTGACCCCCAGCAGGCCATCTTTATGTGGTGGGTGCTGGCAGGTTAATGAGCTGTTAACCCCTCTGACCTCTGACCTCCGACCCACTGGCAGCAGGAGAATCAGAACAAAGTCTGTTAGATTCAGATTAAAGGTTATATTTCCAGCTAAAGCGACTTCACAGTGATATGATTGAGTGAAAACCTGAGAAAATCACTGACAGATTCTTTAATTTTCCTTTATTTTATAATTCATTCTTTGTTCTGCCATATTCTTTTATTTATTCATCCACTTCTTCCCAGAATATCAGTGATCCTGGTTTAATATTAGAGAAAAGGAAAATTATAATACAAATCAGACAATAACTGCCAAGACTAAAGAAGAAATAAAGTATATTCTAACCCTCATAACTATTTCTCTGTTTTTGTTGTGACATCATTTGGTTACACATTGATGTATTTTTATGCGTACTTTCTTATTTTGTTGTTTCTTTTATTTGTTCTCCTATCTGGTTATTTATTCTGCAGATCAATATGTAATGTTTGTTTTATATAATCTGATCAGTGAATAAAATAATAACTTTTCTGCTTATGGTTTTTCTGGGTTCTCAGCGAAGGCAACACAACGCTCCTCATCATCTTCTTCATCATCCTCAGATATGACCTGCTGAGCGTCCAGACTCAAACTTCTCAGAGCCGCCGTGTTGCCGCCATGTCTCTGTCCTGCAGGAAGTCGCTGATTCATCCAGGAGTCGCTTCGATAATTTCCTCCATTTTCAGAGTAAAACTTTCCTCCTGTTTCTCTGAGCGTCTGCTTTTCTCCTGCAGTGGTTTCAGTTAGCAGAGAGTGAAAGGCCAGGCTGACTTTCAGCACATGCTACCAAACACACTCTGCTCCCTGCAGGAGGCGCGGTGTGTGTCGACCCGTTCAGCTTTCTGACCTGCTGTCAAACCATCCTGATGAGTTTCCCTGTTTTCTGTGTGGAGCAGCACAAAGACGCGCAGCATCAATGTGAAATGTTGGATTATAACCAGGTCTGATGGAAAAACAATTCACTATGAAAAACTAAAAATAAAAATGAGAATAAATACTTAATACTAGCAAGATAAAGTAAAAATCTTGACTTAATTATTGAAAGTTATTTATTTTTTATTTTCACAGCGTTACCCTGATTGCAAATATCAAAACTCAAACTTTGGTCACCGAACTGTTAAAGCACTGAGGCCCTTTAGGACAAAACCAAACTATTCTCAACAGAATAAGAATAAAACTCGGCTGCTTGGTGCCTCCAGAGTGTCTGAAGATACGATCAGGACGAAACGAGCTTTTTATTATTATTCCATCTCCAAAATGAATCAGGCTGCAGTTTGTTTCCAGGTCAGAGTTCACCAGAAAATGATGTTTCATCACATCCACCGGTGGAAACAAGGAGCCAGCATCCCGCCACTGCAACATCTGTTCAGCTGTTCAGGATTTTCTTTTATAAGAAATATTCAGAGCATATTTTCTTTTGGGATATCATTTCATTTTTATTCTGTCCAACTTTTATGTCGGTGACGTCACACATGCGTCGTAATTATGCAGCAGAAGAAAGCAGACAGAAAATCTGGACTAAAATCTGTCCGAAGTGATTCTGAGACATTGAACGCATCACACCCAAACCGGTTGGACGCATTGCGTCACTTCCTGTTGTCCCAGTTTCGCTCTATGTCTCTGGTGAGTTATATCTTTATTTCTGCTTTTTTTTTTCTGTCCAGAGACAAAACCGAGAGATTTTTACACAGAAACGCGTTGAAACACATTTTCTGTTGCTACACGTCGCGTTTTGGAAACTCTTCGTGTTTCTCAGGCTTTTCCGGGCAATAAAAGCGCGTTAGCTTAGTTAGGCTAGCGCTAGGTTAGTTAGGCTAGCGCTAGGTTAGTTAGGCTAGCGCTAGCTCAGTTAGGAGCCTACATGGGGAACACGTTTCCTTTTGCGTTCCCTTGCAATGATCTACTGATCAGTTATGTGGCATAGTTAAATCCTGTCAGCCCTTCTTGCAGCAGCCGATGGACTTTCTGCTTTAATAAAACGTTATGTGAGGTTTTTCCATGAATGTTCATATCTCCTAGTGAAATATCTGACATTTTATATATTTTCTTTTGGGATAGAAAAGCACCAAAAACCCGATATAAACAGAAACTTTCTCCAAGTAGGAAAGAAATAAAAATACATCCTAATTTGGATTATTTCTGAGTTATTATGGTGGTGATTCAGACAGTCAGAGACAAAACTGTCAGATAATTTATTACCCGCGATAATAACTCAGAAATAATCCAAATAGTTTGGATGCATTTTTATTTATTTCCTAAAACAGTTAGGAAATAAATGCAGGCTATTTATTTAGCCTTCTTTCTACAGGCTAAATGACCCAAATTATTGTTAATTTTTAACTGTAACTGTTTAGAAACCATCCCATAATAAGCTATCTCCAAATGATATTTGTTTTAAACACTGCTATGTTTAAAACAAACACAGTGTTGGTTAGAAGGGCTGAATAGTTTTAACAACACAGATTGTGAGTAAAAGCTGCAGGATGCGTCATCAGATCTACATTAAAGCGCAGGGGTTAAAGGTCAGCAGGACTGTAGTCATAATTCAGTCCAGCTGAAACATCATACCATTTCACTGAAACAACAGATGATTTAATGTTTTATTATTCAATTCAGTTGCCAGTATGGATTAGATTTTTATCATTTTACACACTTAGCCAATAAAGATCACATTTTTATTGATTATATAGAAATATTTCATAACTGTTTCTGACAACAAAAAGTTAATTGATTTGCTGAATTTAAAATCTCATCTTGTTCATGGAGGGAATATTGTTAAACTTTAAAAAAGGTTACATAAGAAATAAAAACAAGAATATTTCTCCTGACGGTCAGAAACTGAACCTCTCACCACTGCAGGACCTTTATTATTAGAAACTCTAAAATAAACCGGGATGTTATTGACTGAGGCGTTCATGAAACCCAGAGCGCTTTGAGATGGAAGTGAGAGGAAGTAGGTTAGAGAAGAATCTGCGTTCGTTGGCTCTGGAGCTGCTTTTATAAGAAATATTCAGAGCAGGAAACGACCATGCAGCGTCCGCACCGTTTGTGATGCTGCACGCTGTGACAAAGCCGACCTTCTCCTCACATTAACACCTCTGCTCTCCTCTGATTTCCCAGTGACCCAAACAGGAGAACGTTCCAGCGAAGCGCTCCGTCTCCCCTCTGCAGCGCTGCGTGTTTGGCAACGGGGGGAGCAAGAGGAGCCGGCGAGCGCAGAGCAAGATCCTCCATCTGCCTGGTGACGGAGCACAGAGCGGAGGGCAGAAGTGGGTCATATGGAAACCCCGATATGGACGCCCCATGCTGCCATGATGCGACCCAGAGCGCTGAACAACAGGCTCTCATCTGCCAGGACAGGAAATGGTGAGTTTGTTCTAAAGGGACAATGCTCTGTTTTCCAGGCCATTTTCTAGAACAATAAATCAACTTTTTTTCTTGATCTGTTTCAATAACAAATGTTTGTGGATGATAAATCATCCAAGAAGTTATTCCGATAAACAGTAATATCATTGTTTTGAGACCGATTTCTAGTAATATAACATAATAATGACATAATAATGCAGGAATACATTCTCACAGCGCAATAAAATCCTGATCAACATTTAACACTCAAAGCAAAGCAAAACTGCGTGTTTTTTTTTTTTTTTTTACAACATGGTGGAATTTGAACGACACTGGCCCTTTAATTTTTGGTATTTTTATTTTTCTGATCCAAATTGAGGCCAGAGTTTTTCACCAGGAGCCTTTTCTTCTCCTGCTAGCGAGGAAAAGTTCTGGTGTTGGTTCTCAGGGCATCGTTTGCATTCGGAACCGGCTCTCGTTTGGAAAACTAATCAGTCTGACTGGAAGCGAAGAAAAGCCGAAGGCTCCGACGTCAGCGCCGAGCTGCCGGTGATCACAGGAGTCTTTGTGTAGCAGAGAAACACTTCAGATCCACAGCGCAGGACTGATCACATCCACCTAATCAGGTGTATAATCAAAGCAACTCGCAAGACAAATCAGAAGGTAAAACCCTTCATTAGGAGCTGAGAGCCAGGTTAGAGACTCTGCAACGCTGCAGGAACAAACAGGCCTTTATTTTCACAACGAAGAGGAAAAGTAGTAAAAATGGGAAACATCGTCTCTACCGGAGCAGAAACACCGGAGTGAAGCCGGCCGATTGGATCAGAACTCATCTGTTCCTCTGATCGGTGACAATGTAAAAACAGTCGAAAAAAAGTAAAAATTGTCCAAATTTTCAAATTCAGACATGTTGAAGTATTTTTTTCTTTTTAAAGAAAGTTTCTGAGATTAATTTGAAACGTTCTGCATTTTCAAAACTTTTGGGATAAAGTTCTTCTTTTGGTTTCTACCTGCAGTGGCGCTAATGCACCGCTGTAAACAAACTGTCTAAGATTAATTTAACATATTTATGAGAAAAAAAGTTCCCTGATATCAAGAAATAGTAATAAATTATGATATTAAAACCAAGAAATTCTCTGACCAATAAACAGTCGGAGTGTTGATGTGTTCTGGTTCAGTTCTGGAAGTTTGTATGAAAATAAACGAACCGCCAGAGAAAACGTGTGAATGCTGTTTCTGTCTGACTGGACCGGTACCAAGGGGCTGGAGCAGAACCAGCTGATAGACAGGCTGGGCTGTTACTTCATACATAGAGCTAATTAGCATAAACATAATTAGCATAGAGCTAACTAACATAAAGCTAATGGAACAGCGGCTACAAGGTTTCCAGCTGCAGCTGTGGATGTGAGTCGCTACAGGAAGAGAGGAACAGGACGGAGGCAGAAAACGGACGCTGAGGATTAAAATCGATCCCAACATGCAGCCCGACCAAATGACTCAGGTACTGCAAGATGAAATCCAATAAGATCCAAAAATATCCAGGCGCAGATAAAAGGCAGCAGGATGAAAGCGCTGCTGTTTTCATGTAATCACTCTGAGATGCTAATCCAGACGAGAACCGGACCGGATTTAACCAGGACTTCATCTGAAACACTCCAGCTGAACGAGATTCCTACCTGAACTTCCCAAAAGGCATCAGGGACGTGAATATTTAATAATTGGTGCTCTGCAGTTTCCTCATCTCTGAGTATTAAACAGATTTTTCCTCTCTACCTTGGAAATGGGCTCCAGTCCGGTTCTCTGCGATCGGCTCCAGTCCGGTTCTCTGCGATCGGCTCCAGTCCGGTTCTTGGAGATCGGCTCCAGTCCGGTTCTCTGCAATCCGCTCCAGTCCGGTTCTCAGCGATCGGCTCCAGTCCGGTTTTGGGCGATCCAGCCACATGTCCTCCTTCCTGGGCCAGCACCCGGCAGGAGCTGCTTCTTCTCTGTGTGTCCATATGCACGGGCGAGCGAGGGAGGGAGAGAGAGAGAGCCAGGCCATACTGAGGCCTGAGGCAGAGGAGAGAGAAACAGGTGGGGCTCACTCTGCCCCGGGGGGAGCAACTGTTGGTGTTTATGTTTGTAAAAGCTGTAAGCAGGGAGCAGGAGGATTCTGCCCGGTTTCAGGCTGCTGGCGTCAGCCGCCAAGCCGCGGCGCCGCAGGCCGCCCCCGGGCCGCCGCGGGCCGCTTGGCCCTGGAACAGAGCCACTGTCAGCTGAGACAATGGAGAGGAAACCATCCTCCATTTTAAAAACACTCTGCACACACAGCGCCCTCTAATTACTGTCACCATGGAAACGAGACACCAAACACCAACAGCAGCTTTTTCTGCAGCAATATGCTAATTCACCTGCCGTACCACCAAAATAAAAGCTGGGTCTTATAAATGGCTTCTTGTCTCCTCTTCATCATCTTCATCATCATTTAATTTCCTCTTTCTGGTCCAACATTAAAACAAGCTGAGCTTTTATTTTGATAGTCCACTTCCTCTTATTGACAAGCACGTATCAGCTAAATATTTAGATCAGAGCTAGCTACATGTTATCCTAGCGCAATATTTTAATATTTAATATTTTAACAATATTTAAGCTCCATTTTTAGCTAATTCAGAGCTAAATATGAAACTAACGTTATTCTAATCCCGGGTCAACGAGCGATCTGCTCTCACTGTCCACTTATTGACCGAATCTCACACAATAACAAAGACTTCATAAGAAAAATTGATCAAGATTCATAACAAACAGATTTTTTACTTTTGCTGTTTTAGACCATTAAAACTGGAATCTGAATTTTCAATCTAGTTTTTATGAGATGTGATTACAGGTCGTATATTAAGTTGTTCTAATCGTTGAATTTTAACCCCAGTTTATTTGTTTAGCAGTCAGTCAGATGTTCACTTTGCTGTTTTAAGAATAAAATGAGGATGTGTCAGAAACGCTGCATATTGCAGCGCGTTAACATGTTTCTGTCGGGGGCTGAGTGCTCTGACTGCTGCGGGTTTTAAACCCGGGATCGATCTGACCAACACAGATGTTTGCTGCTCCGCTGTAACCGACACAAACCTTCAGGAAGCAGCAGGAACGCTGATAATCGTCAGAATTATTAATTAAAACTTTAGATCGAACTCAAGCAGCAGAAAATGCGCCAATATTTGCAGAGAGGCTTGGCTCATTAGTCTGAATCTATGATTTGGAGAAGTTAGTGTTGCAGTTAATTAGAAAGCGGCAGTGATGAGCAGCGGCGCATCCAAAGGCCGGCCCGCCGGGAGAAACCACAACCCAAGATGGATGGCTGTAATATTTGCTCCGGCATTTCGGCGCCCAGACACCGACATAATGAGCTGTCAGCAGCGGGACGCGACTTCCTGCTGGAAACCCAGTGATTAATATTCCTGGGGGCGGGGCTTCCTGTGATCACAGCTGGAAACTGGAAACATCTCCGTGTTCGCATAAAACGCCTCAAACTGATGTTTTGTTGACCAGTAAAAGTTTCAGGTTTCACTCTGAATTCTGATAAAACTGAAACTTTTTCACAGATCAGAAACTGAAAAGTGTGGCTTGCTTTTTTATTCAGTACCATCAGAACCATGTTTTCACATATCACCAGTGAACTCTGGTTTGGTTTGAATGTGAACACCAAGCGGACCAGAGAGCGCTCCAAACGCAGGACTACAGTGCAGGGCATTCTGGGTAAATATAACCAAAGCTAACATGCTAGCCTAGCGCTAGCAGCAGAAATGGCTCCTGGTCTTCAGCCAAAGACTAAAGAGAAATCCTCCAGCACTAAACTCTGACGCCTCCATCTTGTTTCATCTGGTGAAGCAGGAAGTTGCTCTCAGTGTCTTCAGAGGTTTTAGTGTCGTTTCCTGCAGTGGTTCTTGCTGCAGCGCTCCCACAGGCCAGGAGGGGAACAGGTTGCTCTAAACCAGGGGGGTCAAACTCCAGTCCTTAGAGCTGCTGGCCGTCCTGCAGGTTTTAGATGAGCCACAGGTACAAAACACTGGAATGAAACGGCTTCATCACCTCCTCCAGTCTGGATCGGTTCTCCAGAACCTTAATGAGCTCGTTATTCTGTTCAGGTGGTGCAGCTGAGGCTCATCTAAAGATTGCAGGACAGCAGTTTGACCCCCTACTCTAAGCGTTTGGTTGGATGTTGTTGTATTGGACCCAATAGAACCAGGTCTACCGGAAAACTCCGTAAAAAGAATCCAGGAAGCAAATCTTGTTGTCCTTTCAGAGAAGAAGGTGAAACCCTTTCCTCCTCGTTTCTAAACCGTGTCTTTCCTGCGGTGCATCCGGAGCGCTCCGTTCGATCCTCGGCTCCCAGCCGGTCGTCTTCGCTGCGGGTCGGAACCGAATGGCTGCCAGGCGGCGCTTTAACAGAATCAGAGACTCTCCGAGTTCTGCGCTCGGCTCGGTTCGTTGAGGAGGTTTACAGAGCCGCATTAGGAGAAACTGCTCTGAACAAAATATAGACATGCCAAATATTGCTGCCATGCGGAGGTAACAACTGTGAATCTGCTGACTGTAATATTTCTCTTGATCTGCATATAACTTTCACTCCAGCCTGCTGTCAGTCAGCATCTCTCTGAGTTGTTGTTTCACTCGGTGGGCCGAGTCCAGTGGGACAGGGTGAGCAGCGGCCGGACGACCCTTCACTAAGCCCCGCCTCCCGGCTCTGATTGGCTGTTTCTAGTCAGCCTGGGACAAATCAGAGGATCTTGAATCTTTTCACAGATTATCAGTCTCATGTTGTCACAAGTGCTGACAGTTTTAATAAATATGATGTGTTTTCTAAAAGTTCCAGCAGCTTTAAGTGTTTTTGCTGTGGATGTGAACAGATTGTAGAAGTAATTACTCCTGCCAGGTGTGTACTGAGTGTGTGTGTTTAGCGTTGCCCACCTCTTAATGCGACGCCTTAAGTGACAATTACAGGACATTACTGAGCTGGAAGACGTTTTCTCAGCAGCACTTCACAGATTTGAGCTTATTGGTTTCATTATGAGGAGAATATGAGCCTGTGATGCTTCCTCAGTTCGTTTCCTGCCGCCTCAGTCAGACAGAAGAAGCTTTGAAACCAGTTTGACACAGAAACACGACCACAAAGCCGCTCCTCCCACAACCATGGCCGCCGGTGGCTGGACGTTGCCAGGGAGATGTGTCTCAACGTCTCTGTCCGCTTTAATGCCGGATGTGAAAGAGACGCCGGGTTGTCGGCTTTTATTCAGGCTCCGGTTTCACGTCGCCGTTGGTCTGGATGAGCTCTGGCCTCTTCGGATTGGGTGCAGCACTGACTGCTACTGGAGTGTCACCATCGACTGTTGGAGGATCTGACTTTATTTTCTGTTTGAGATAAATAAATATTCCTGGATTGAGCTGATCTTCATCTCCTAAAGTATTGGCGAATCAGCAACGAGCAGAAACATTTTACTACAGGAACTAAATCTCACTCAGATCTTTAATCTGACAACATTTATTATAAATCTTAATCCTGCAACCAGGAAACTCAGAGTTTGACACAAATATTTTTTATTTTTCTTACAATTGTTGTGGATTAATGTCACAAAAGTTAGTGATATTTTTTCTCATTGAATAAATTAAAGGTTGGATTTCTCTGTCAGGCTGAGACGATAAAACTTGGACTAAATGTTTCCTGTAAGGTCGTTTCTACCAGAGGCAACGTAAACGATGTCAGGATATTCACTTCCTGTTTATCACTTTAACCCCTTCCATCACTTCTGCTGGAGATCTGATCGCTCCTTCAGTACACACACACACACACACACACACACACACACACACACACACACACACACACACCACACACCAATAACACTACAAACCAGCTCCACTAAAACACACAGCACTGGTTTCTTCTTTTCACTTCTTTCTTTTTATCTTTGTGAGATTAAACAGTGTTTGATGATCTGAAGCTCAAAATGTCCAGAAATCATTAATCTGATCAGATTCATGAAGCTGAACCCTAAAAGCCAAGAGGAACCAGATTCTGGTGGTCTGGTTGCGGTCGGCGTGTTTTATTCTCTCTGGTTTTAGTAACAACCGTTCAGCAGGTCCAGGTTCTCCTTCGGCCTCTAACGAGCCGTCACTGGATCCAGGTGTGTTAAACCAGGGAGAGACTAAACATGCCGGATCCGACCCAACGGACCCACTGGGGGCTCTGCTGGTGTGGAGCTTTGAGGCGTTTTCGGTTTGCTTCTCTCAGCATGTTTCTGTTTCTGTTTGATCTTCGCTGCTAAAAACACAAAGAGGAGAGAAGCTGAAATGGCCCACGGGACGCAAACCGGATCCTTTACGTCAGCCCATTAAAACACCCAGAATAACCAACACACAACCAGAGCAGCGCCTCATCACCGCCACACAAACACACACACACAGACACACACACACACGCAGAGTTGCTGAATGGAAACTCACGGAGGGCTGGCGGTCTGGAGACGAAGTGCTGGGAGTGAATCCCGAGGGCCTCCTCCCCCCGGAACGGCTCACCTGGGCCCCGGCCCTGCAGCACACTGGCTACGGCCCTGCGGGCCCCACACACGCACACACACACGCACACACACATACACACACACATACACACACACACACACACATGCGCACACACACAGAGAGAAAGAGAGAGTGTGAGTGTGCATAACATAGCTAATGCAATTATTCACTCTGGATGTTTCTTTTCACCAAAGTGTGCGGTGCAGCAAAGTGGAAAAGTGAAACATGATCCTCACAGCGTTTCTGCACATCCTCACCTGAGCTGCTGCTGCAACTGATTGGCGAGAACTCAGCGGAGCAAAACGCCACCGCCAGACTCCTGTACTACTACACTTTACTCTGCACAAGATTCAGCAACATGGAGGGACTTACTGCAACTTTATTCAGACATTTCCCCAAAGACACGGAACGTTCTGCTGGCCGAGAAAAACCAACCAACCTGCATCTCAACCTCTGATCAATCATCCCAGAGGTTATCGCAATAAACCATTGTTTTCCAGTAACATAACAGATTCTCAAAGATCAATAAACTTTCAATTCTAACAAACATTTGAAATGAAACAACAAATGTAATGAATCATAAAGTCTCTCTGCTGGTTAAGACCAAAACTCCAGACTGAAACTTTTACCATCCATAAAAGACCATAAATCAAGATTCATCATGGCTTTGATTGATTTGTTGATTATTGTGACTGGCTCAGCCACCTCTTTAAAACAAAAACCAAATAAATTAATTCGTTTTTTCTTGTAGAAAAGTGAAAATGCATTTCAACTGAAAACCAGTCAGTTAAACTCATTATTCTGTCAGAGATTAAAATAATTTCCCCACTAAATATTAATAGATTTTTGGATTTAAAGTTTCTCAGCTTGAACTAAACGGACATTATTCATACATAAACAGGAAGTTAAAATACTGTCACTCGTGAACTTCCTTTTGGTTTATATCTGATGTGTTTCTGCACAGAAACTGAATCAACCTGAATGAAGAGTGAGACTGGTCTAGTCCAATCATGGATGAAGAAACAACACTTATAGAAAACGTGTCTGATCGGCCCGGGCTGAATCTCAGCTTCAGCACCGGGATGTTCCGGTCCATTTGGGCCGGCAGCGGAGCGCGCAGCGGGTCTCACCTGGACATGTTCTCCCTCTGCGGCCGGTGCGCCTTCTCCAGCCCCAGCTTGGTGAAGATGCCGACCAGAGCCATGATGGCCACCACGCCGCAGATGATGTAGACGATCAGGTTGGTCTTGTCTTTGGTGCTGTCGTGCATTTTGTTCATCTTCTTGTAGGGCGTCTGGCCGGTCTTCATCCACACCGGCGTGTCGTAGTTCTTGCAGGTGCTCTGGTCCAGCCGCGAGTTTTTCAGGGAGCAGCAGAAGCGGAAGCCACAGGTGCCGCAGCAGTACAGATAGTCTCCCGTCTTGCAGACGAATGGCGGGTCCCACTGGCCCATCACGTCGTAGTAACCCCGGCACTGCTCCTCGGTGTGCGGCGTCTCCTCCGGCGCGCCGTCCTCCTCCCGGGACCCGTTGGACGTGGCGATCATGACGAACCCGCCGAGCAGCCCCGGCTCCCCGTCCGCCTTGCACACCAGAGCCGTGAGTTTGAGCAACAAGAAGGCGAGCAGGAAGAATCTGCCCCCCATCGCGCTGGCTTCCCGCCTTCGACTTCACGCAGAAACGAGCAAACCTGGAGCGACGCGGGAAGGCGCACGATGCTGGCGGGCGGAGGAGTCCGGCAGCGCCGCGCCGCCTTCCGACATTTTATCAGCAGATCCTCATCCAAACAGGAGAGAAACGGGAGCGCAGATGGAGAGCAGAAATGAAATCTCCACGGGATGAAGTGGACTTTGGGGAAGTTGCTCCGTGTACGTCCGTCCACTGCCGCCCTCAGCAGCTCCGATTGCGCGTTTTCAGGAGAGCATCCGTTCACATTCCCATCTGTGCGCTCTTACGCACGGAGTAGGCAGAGACACAAGCTACGGCCAGGATGAGAGCAGAGCGCAGTGAGCGAATGGAGGAGCGAGGGAGGGAGGGAGGGAGAGCCTGGTGCGCAACGGGAGGAGGAGGAAACCGGAGAGAGAGAGCGGGAGGAAAAGCATCGTAGTGAAATATTATCAGAAAAGCCTGGAGATGCTCATCAGGATCCAGTCGGTTCGGCTGCTCTGGACGTTTTACAGAAACTCAAATGTTCCGGAAAAACCTGCAGGAACTTCCGGAACCAACCCGAATCTGATGTTGAGAAAACGGTTCAAAATCACAGATAATGTTCACAAAATCCATTTGATACCGAAATCAATTTCGTCTTATATTTTGATCTAGTTGGGGCCTGCCTAGCAATGCATGGAGGCAGTGACTGACTTGCTTAGTCAGTCACTGCCTCCATGCATTGCATGGCAGGCACCTATTAATCTTCACCTAATAGAATGTCTCTCTATTATTATAACTTCATCCGTGACCGTTAATGCGGCTCGTACCGCTGCGAGCCCACCCACAAAAGTGGTATCAAATCGTGCGGCTCGGCGCCGGGAGGGGTGCTATTACTTTTGGTGGGATTCGGAGTTACGATAAAAAAGTAAAAAGCGAAAAACCATCAAAAAAATTCTTGTCAGTTAGAAACTGCCCAAACTAGTGTAATCAACGTTTCGTTAGAGTGTGGGAAGCACTGCGATTCTGACCCCAAATAAATTTTGAAATCGCCGTCACGCCCACAAATATCGCCCTATCGGTACGAAACTTGGTCATAAAATAGATACGCATGCCTGCTCCGGTAAAATGTTTTCAAAATTTTTCTAGGGCTTACGGTTTTCTGTCTAGGGGCTTCAGAGCAAAGTGATGCGACAGGATTTCGACTCGCTCAGCCAGGATCACTTCCATGTATTTCTGAAAAATGTCAGACCTCAGCACACACCATTTTTATCTCGTCGCTGTTATTACTGTGAGTGATGTACAGATATGAATCGCGGGACTATCGGAGACGAAAGATAGCCCTCTCATACGCTTCAAACGGTTTTCCGATACGTATCACGGTTTCCGAACGGGAAGGAGTTGTTCGGACCGCTTTTTTCAGTGAAAACTGACTGGGTGTCTCACAAAGATAGAATTCTTTCTGTCTCACACACATGACAGTTGCAGAGGATTCATTACCATAGCAACGAAGCACAGCAGGGCCCAGCAGCTAATTAGGACTACAAAAACGCATCACTGTAGTTTTTACTGTGGCAGAGCTCTGAGGAAAGAGCTGGCCTTTAGAATTATAAATTAGAACTACAAAAACGCATCACTGTAGTTTTTACTGTGGCAGAGCTCTGAGGAAGGAGCTGGCCTTTAGAATTATAAATTAGAACTACAAAAACGCATCACTGTAGTTTTTACTATGGCAGAGCTCTGAGGAAGGAGCTGGCCTTTAGAATTATAAATTAGAACTACAAAAACGCATCACTGTAGTTTTTTACTGTGGCAGAGCTCTGAGGAAGGAGCTGGCCTTTAGAATTATAAATTAGAACTACAAAAACGCATCACTGTAGTTTTTACTGTGGCAGAGCTCTGAGGAAGGAGCTGGCCTTTAGAATTATAAATTAGAACTACAAATACGCATCACTGTAGTTTTTACTGTGGCAGAGCTCTGAGGAAGGTGTTGGCCTTTAGAACTGCCTATGTTTTGGGCATTTTATAACTCTTTTTAACCAACCATTGTTACACATGGGATTAGTGTGGCAATTTTAAATTAAGCTTTAAAAATTTTTCAAAATAAAAGCCTTGACAATTTTTCCATCAATTAAGTGCTCTTTTGACCATTTTATGTCTGATTTTACCGAATCACTGTTACACATGGGATTAGATTGGCCATTTAAAACGAAGCTCAATGAAAATTTCAAAATAAAAGTCTTAAGATTCGTCTGTGGCTAATACAGTGCCGCAGGCGCTGCAATGATATTAGCTTGCTTTATCTTTTCGTCTCAAGGTAGGGCTCTTTCTTGCGCAGCAAGACAGTGCATTAGCATTAGCACAAACATTAGCATTTCACTGTTCCCCACTAGTGCACTGCCATAGGCAGTGCAATAAGATTATCCTGCATGATCTTTTTCTCTCAGGTTAGGGCTCTGCCTTGCACAGCAAGGCAGAGCATTAGCATTAGCATTAGCCTTTTACCTTAAATTAGGTATTAGCCATTTCCTTTACTTATTACCCATGTTCAATAATTCATGCTTGTGACTCTCCACATGCTATTGATGACATTGCAGCTTTCTTTAGCATGGATGCTAATGTTTAGCATCAGAACGCTGGGTCCAAACCGACAAGCACACTTTGGCAGGCCCCGGTTAAATTTCTTCAGGAATTTTCTAGTTTTTTCCTAAAGTTTAGCAGAATGATTTTTCTTCATCAAAAGACATTTAAATTATTTAAAAGCCGGAACAGATCAGGACATTTTACCTCCATTTTCGGACTGTTTAACAGAAGAAATCAAAACTGAAAACTATTCACACCTATTTTATCAAATCATAACAGTCCACTTAGAAAAACAAAGCTGCTTAAGGACTGAAGTTTGCTGGACTTTTAAAACATGGCGCTGGCAGCATCATGCTGTGGGAAGCTGTTTTACTTTTTAACGGTCCGTTTATTTTTTCTTCTTCTTTATGAATTTTATATTGACTTATATTTTGTGTGAAAAGATGAGATAAACAGTAGATCAAAAGTTCTGCAGCTGTCATGGCAACAACACTGTTCTGATGGTGCATGCCACACTTTTCAGATTCTGACTTGTTTAATTTTTATTCTGATTTACAGTTGTGTAAAATGTATTACAGTTTGTTGTATTTGAGATATTATGGCATGGTTTAGATGAAAGCAGATTTGTGTGTTAGAACATCTGGTTCCCAGAGATTTTCTGCCCTGATGGATCACAATAAAACAATAAAACCCCAAAATAAAAAAAACATCAGCTGGGCGCATCATTCAACCAGACATTAATCTTTATACATATTTTGTTTTCAAACTCCACTGAAGTTTATTTCACACTTAAGGTTGAAACAAAACAAACTACAAACCGTCTTTACAGTGAAACACTTTTGTGTAACTGTCTTTTGTTTTGTTTTCTTCATTGCTTCCTGCGACCCCCAGGGGGCGCACCCCACACTTTGGGAACCACTGGCCTGTCAAAATCCAGACCTGAGACTCTGTGGCAGCTCTGGATGCTCCTCATCCAATTAAACTGACTTTCCCAACAAAGTAACAGAAAAATCCAGAGGTTCGTGAACGCCTCGTGTTGATCCACAAGAAGTGAAAACAAGGAAAAAGATCAGAACCGCTGAGCAAACAAACATCCAATCCGCTTCAACCCCAATCCAGTCCACTTTTCTGTAAAGGCTGGTTTCATTGGTGAGGTGCGAATGCAGCGCAGGGCATTCTGGGTAAATACAACCAAAGCTAACATGCTAGCCTAGCATTAGCAGCAGAAATGGCTCCTGGTCTTCAGCCAAACACTAAAGAGAAATCACTAAACTCTGACGCCTCCATCTTGTTTCATCTGGTGAAACAGGAAGTTGCTCTCAGTGTCTTCAGAGGTTTTAGTGTCGTTTCCTGCAGTGGTTGTTGGTGCAGCGCCCCCACAGGCCAGGAGGGGAACAGGCTGGTTTGGGTCAGAACCACAGCAGCTGGAGGTGGAGCAGAAGTTCTGGTTCCAGTAGAACCGGCTCGACCGGACTGTCAGGAGCTGAATAAAGATGAACACTGCAGTTTTAAGATTTCAACTTTTCCTTCAAATACTCGACCAAGAAGATAACCTGGTTTTGAATGTTTCAGTGAAAAATGTTTTTGTGACTATGCTGGCGGGAAACGTCTGGACGGATCCAGGTTCTGGACAGCTCCAGGTTCTGTCCGTGGTTCTGGACGGATCCAGGTTCTGGACGGATCCAGGTTCTGGACGGATCCAGTCAGCTGTTCCCAGTGACATCACGCTCTGAGGAACCAGGATGTTTCAAACCAAAGGCAGAAATGAAAGCAGGATTTACTGAGCAGGAAGTGAAGCTTGAAACCATTAATTGTGATCATTTATTAAGATCAACTAATACGGATTTTAAGTTAACGGACTCTGAGGAACTGCAGAACCAGAAGAACCGATGAGAGAAACAAAAACAGCTTCAGCCGTACAGGAAACATGTCAGGACTGAGGCTCAGGAAGAGACAGCAGAACATTTGAACAGTTTCACAGAAATCAGCAGCCAGGTGACACATTAAATATTTCATCATTCTGGCAGAGCGTCATTTCTTTCATATTTTTTTTTTATTGAATTTTTATAACATACAAAAATAAGACAAAAAAAAAGAACAAAAAACAAGTGACAGTGAATCACTCAATACAGATTCTCTTTAAGTAATTTAGTCCCCAAAGCAAACAAACACAAATTAACAATAATAACCAATGATAAAAATAAAACAAAACAAACAACAACAAAAAAACTCAGCAATCTCTGCACAGTTCTCTTAATGTCCTTCATCAGAAACTCGGTCAATGGTGACCATGTTTCTTCAGATTTCTCTCCTTTTCCTCTGATAATGTAAGTGAGTCTCTCCAGAGCCACACGATGTCATCTCCTTCACCCACATGTGAATTGAAGGCATGTCCATTTTTTTCCATTATAGAGATATTAATCTCCTGGCCTGCAGGAGTCCAAAGTCAGTCAATTTTAACTGTCTGGAATTAAAAACACAATTCTCCGGATAAATACCCAAAACACACATTTTGGCCTCAGCAGGTACATTCATTCCAACGATTTCTGACAGAGTTTGCATAACCAAGTTCCAATATTGCTGTAACTTTGGACACTCCCATACGCAGTGAAAGAGAGAACCTTTCCAACCAAACATTTACAGCAGATATCTGGGATGTTAGGTGCCCAGCGGTTCAGTTTAACTCAGGGGTGTCCAAACTTTTTGCAAAGGGGGCCAGATTTGGTGTGTTAAAAATATAGGGGGGCCAACCTTGGCGGACGTTCTTTACATATAACAGCAATTAATTTAAATACATTTCAGCGAGCTGTTGTGTGTTTCACATTTGCTTTTTTATTTTAAGCATATGTTTTGGTTCATTTGAAACATACATATCAAAATTCAATTGACATTGAAAATTGAAATTAAATATTCATTTAACTTCACTTTTTTAACTCTAACTTTTTTGTAACAGTTGAAGAAAGTAATTGTACTCTTGGGTACAAATTACATTTGAAACATAAAAAAAATCTCAAAATGGGACTTTAATATTTACAGAATTTTTAAACACAATAACAGAGAAATTGTCATATCAACAAGTGCAGGGCTCATTTAAAATATGACAGTAACTATAAATGTTGATTAGCACACCTCTCTCTGGCTTGGCGGCGCGGGGACAGGACGCGCGGTGATGATGTGCGCACTAGTGAAACGGTGAAAGGTTTGCAATGCTTTGCGATCAGCGCTGCTACCTCGTAACTAGCCTTTGTAGCATTCTCGTTTGACTCTCCAGCTTTTGTAAAATATTGCTGCTGTGAGATCAAGCTAGCTTCAAGGTGTTTCAGTTTCTCGCTGCGTTCATTACCTGTGATCTTGTCATGTGCCTCAGCATGTTTAGTTTGATAATGTCGCTTCACATTGAACTCTTTAAAAACAGCCACTGTCTCTTTACAAATGAGGCAAACTCAGTTGTTACGTATTTCAATGAAGAAATAGTCCAATTTCCACCCATCCTTGAACCGTCGGCCCTCGCAGTCAACTTTCCTCCTTTTGCTAATTGCCGCCATTTTAGAAAATTGGGGGGCCTCACATACTAATTTGCTGTTCCTATTTGAGCCTCTAGATGTCAGCACTTAGAACACAGCGCTGCTGCCCAATGTATTACACGCGGGCCAGGCGTTATTGATTCTATGTCGGAGGCTGCGGGCCGGATGAAAATTGACCACGGGCCACATTTGGCCCCCGGGCCGGACTTTGGACATGTCTGGTTTAAATGGAGTTATGTAAATTCTCATCAACCACTTGTATTGAAGGAGTTTCATTCTTGTATTGATTGACTGTTTTTGGGCCTTTACTCATGCAGTGTTCCAGTCCGCTACTGGTATCTCTTCTCGAATGTCAACTCTCCATGCATCCAGTTTATCTGCAGTGGATTCCTTATCATGCCTTAGTAAAGCTAAATAAAATAAATATGACCTCTCTTCTCTAGATTTTCTAGCACAATATTTTCTAGGTATGACAGTGGCGGTCTGGGTTCAATCTTTTTATGTTTAGACATAAGAAAATGTTTAATTTGTAAATACTTGTAAAAATGCTTCTTTGAAATGTTATACATTTGATTTCTTTCATATTTATTTCTTCTTGAAATATGCAGAGAAAAGCAGACAAGATATTTTTCTAAAAGATGGATTAAGGTCTGAAGGTCAGTTTCGGATTTGCTCTGAACAGATTATTAGCTGAGCTCCAGTAAATATTAAACGTATTTCACAAATATCATTCATAACATTTCAGCCTTTGGTCCAACAAGATGAAACATACTCTTCATTCAGAAAAACCTTCTCCCTTGATGCTTCACTGGGTTTTACTGAGGATGTCTGAATCATTTTTACTTTCTGGAATCATTTGAACAGAGTAACGGCTCCCATCATTTAAATGTCGTTCTGGTCCGTTTCAGTCAACATGCTGGATGAGAGAAACAGAACAGGAACCGTCTCGTCCGATTGGACTGCTTCACCTGGACGATAACCTGCAGAACCTGGACCCAGAGTCCAACATCAGTGTCTGACCTCACAAATGCTCTAATGCACTAAAGATGAATATGGCTAATTAAAGTCCATATTTTATGTGTAACAGCTTCCCCTTTTATGCCCGTCCCGTCATACACACAGAGGAGGCCAGTTGGTTGAATTTTCTGTAATAACTGTAATAAATGGTCAACACAAATTAGTACAGTGAGCTCCACTACTGGTCCATCAGCTCTCAGCATACATAGTAGAGCGCTCAACAGACTGCCTCACAAACTATCATTACAATCTGGCTTCACAACATATTTTTCTAACAAATGATCGTATAGTGATATTTGATTATTAATACTTCTTTAAAATTAATTTAACACAATCTGGTCTATTTCCTATAAATAAAGAAAAAAAAACAAACAAAAAAAATAGACAGACAACAATCAAATTTAACTAATAAACTAATTAACAGTAACTTCTAACTGAAACAGGGAACAAACAAACTGACAAGCTGGTAAATACAGCAAACCGACAACTCAACTGAAGAAAAACTGACAAACATAACTGACAAAATAATTTACTAATAAATAATATAATATAATTACCTGTAATAAATGGTCAACACAAATTAGTACAGTGAGCTCCACTGCTGGTCCATCAGCTCTCCGCATACTGCAATAAAACTCCACGTCAGTCTTTGAGCACACCTACTATGACTGCTCAAAAAAGAACTGGATTTGGTGACTTACCACAGTAGAGCGCTCAACAGACTGCGTGGAATTTACGGTTTAGCTTTGTATTTATAGACAACCAGTAGGGGGCGCCAAAAACCATTCATCACATGGTAATTACAAAACATTTTAGCAAGAATTTCATCTTAATACCCGTTACATATGGAAACCCTTTTCTGCCATGAAAGAAAAAAAAATCCAAAGATAGTAATAATTTCGAGTTTTAAAGGCATAGTTCTATCTCCAAAGTCAATTTTGACTTTCGCATGAATAATTTTCACTTCGAAGTCACAAGTGTGATAGTCATAATTCTGAGATTTGGTGATACGAATGAAATACAAAGTCATAATTTTGACTTTTTAAGTAATTATTTCAACTTTTGAATTTTTAATTATGAGGTAAAATGTCCTAATTTTCATACATAGGGTTATAATGTGATTAATAATTTTGAGATAAGTCATAGTTTTGAGATTTAAAGTCAAAATCATGAAATATGAAGTTTTGACTTTAAAAGTCATTTAAATTTTGAAAGTACAAAACTAAACTTTTCTCTGGTATCTTTTAATCATGACTGAATCTCGTCATTCTAACGTTGAAAGTTTAAAAGGTGACTTCCTGTTGGGCTTTTATTTTGTTCTTTCATAGCTGAAATGGATTAAAGTCAGAATTGTCTGTTTTTTTCTAAATAGTGTTTTAAAGAAAACAACGCGCCTTCCTGTTCCGGCCAGCTGACAGCCGCAGCAGTCCCAGCCTCCTCGCCAGGTTGTGTAATCGAACCCCGATAAGCGGCCGGTTCCCAGCAGTCAGGCGGAAGAAGCAGCGCAGCAGCTGAAACGGGTCTGGACCGGAGTCTGGACCGGAGTCTGGACCGGAGTCTGGATCGGAGTCAGGCGGACGGGCAGTTCTGGAAGTTCGGCGGTAGTTGTTTAGTGTTCTGGGACAGCAGCGGCACCAGCCGGGAACATGGCGGACACAGAAGAAATGTTCCTCCGAGCCAAACATCGGACTTTCAGCGGACTGAGTGAAGGTAACCCCCGCCGGTCCGGTCGGGTTAGCCGGTCCGGTCAGTTAGCCCCCGCCGGTCCGGTCGGGTTAGCCGGTCCGGTCAGTTAGCCCCCGCCGGTCCGGTCGGGTTAGCCGGTCCGGTCCGGTCGGGTTAGCCGGTCCGGTCCGGTCGGGTTAGCCGGTCCGGTCCGGTCGGGTTAGCCGGTCCGGTCGCTAGCTAACCGTCTGTTTCTTCCAAACTTTTCGTCACTGTTGTCATGGTAACGCTCTATGTAGCTTTTATTACAGACGTTAATTTATTCAACTGTTATATTTTATACACGTTTCCAGTTTTAGAGGTGAATATTTAATATTAATGAATTACAACATTTAATTTCCCTTTGGGATTAATAAGTATTGATTTATGTTTAATGACACAATTTAAACGTCACTACAGGTTTTCTCAATACCCAGAGACACAAGTCCAGACATGTAGCATGTTGAGTAACGACTCAACACTCACCTGCAGAACACTCACCTGTAGAACACTCACCTGCAGAACACTCACCTGCAGAACACTCACCTGCAGAACACTCACCTGCAGAACACTCACCTGCAGAACACTCACCTGCAGAACACTCACCTGTAGAACACTCACCTGTAGACTCACCTGTAGAACACTCACCTGCAGAACACTCACCTGTAGAACACTCACCTGTAGAACACTCACCTGCAGAACACTCACCTGCAGAACACTCACCTGCAGAACACTCACCTGCAGAACACTCACCTGCAGAACACTCACCTGTAGAACACTCACCTGTAGAACACTCACCTGTAGAACACTCACCTGCAGAGTGTTGGGCAATAACTCAATATTTAGATGTGCTTTAAGTTTCATCATTAATTATGTATTTAGTGAAAAAGGAATATTAATAGAGTATAAATGTGTTTTAAAGAGTTCTTAAATATCTATTTATGGAGCTAATACTTTCAATATGTTTCTCATGCACACTGCAGAGAAATGCAGAGATGTTTTTAGCTGGGCACTAAAACTTTTCACTAAAACGCTCCTCAGGTGTGATTGAAAGAACAAACACAAGCTGAGCTCGTTTTCACTGACGGCTTTATGAACTCGGACGTAACGAAGAGAATGTTTGTAAACAAACAGATGCATGTTCAACTGCGACCAAAACTCTCTGCCCTGACCTCTGACCTCTACAGGAACCTGTCGCTCCACAAGATGCTGTGGAGTGACAGGTTTAGTGTTTACTGCATAGATTACCAGACACGCAACTCCTGGTTGGTTATTTAGCACTAGAATTTGCACGTCATTTATGTGAATTTATCTGTTGTGCAATTTTTATGGTCACACAGTAACAGATTACACAAGATAGTCGTGGAACAGATTATCCAGAAAACCATCTTATCAACTGACATGTTGAAACAGAACCAGGAGTTTAATGTTTCTGGAGAGAAGATCTGTTAAACTAACCACCTGTTGGTGCCAGTCCACCAAAACACGGACAACTTCAAAGTTTAATCTATGAAAACAAAACCTAAAATAATTACAAGATCAAAAGAACAAATAATTTAAAATATAAATGAGACAAAATGGAAATAAAGCAGCAAAACTGTAAAGGTCAGAAATCGAAGCTCAAATAAGATGTACTCTACTGGCTCCTGGGTTCTGACCCGCTGTGTTCCCAGAGGCGGAGCGGCAGTGGACCGGGCCGTTCTGCTTCGTCCAGGCTGCGGACCCCCAGCTGGGCCTGATGAAGTCGTGGCGGATCGGCGACGCGGTGGGCGGCGGGGACGAGTGGGAGGAGGAAGTGGCGCTCACCAAGCAGGCGGTGGCGGGGGTCAACCAGCTGCAGCCCCGGCCCCGCTTCATGGTGCTGTGTGGGGACCTGGTCCACGCCATGCCGGGTAGGAGGCTTTAACTAGGCCACTTCAGCTATTTGTGTTTAATGACCAATCACAGCCCAGCAATTATGTGTCACATTTATCAAATTTTACAATGACAATCTGAAATTCATTTGTTTCTTTCCATCGTGTTATAAAATCAAACAGTTTTAGTAAATATGTGAAATCCTATTTTTATTAAAGCTACATGCAGTGTTTCTTTGTGTAACATTGCTCTGCTCGGCCCGTTTTCCCGCCTGGCTGCAGCTGATATTTACCGATGGAAACGTCGAACCTTCCCGCCGCGCTCGGCTGCAGCCGCTGAATATGTTCAGCCATAATCAGTCCAGGGATTTCATCTGTCTGTGTTGTTCCTGCCGATGTCAGAAATAACATCAATGAGTGGACAGCTCTGGTTCCATCCATTCTGTCTTGGTGACCAGATCTGCTTGTTCAGTGGTTTTGAACTGTTTATTCATTGAGGTTTGATGCAGTGTAGCGAGGTCACGATACGCTGTGAGCTTCAGGGGAACTTCAGGCTGAAATACTTGATATCAGCAAGCGGTGCTGACTGAGCATCTGCAGCTCCTCCGACCCAAAGAGCCGGTCCGCTTAAATCTAACGTCTCTTCTCTTGGATTCGCATTTTACTCAGATTGGTTTCAGTCGGTCTGCACGGCTTCCAGTCTCTAATCCAGAACGGCCAATATCCCAGCCAGCACACCTAGGTGGGCCCCATATGGGATATAAGTGGGCAGGCAATATGGGTCCCAAAAGGGTTTGTCCACGGTTTCCATGGTGGCCCCACATGGGTTTGCCCAAGTAGATTTTAATGGGTGCTGACTGGGTTTTCAGTGGGTCCCACATGGTTAACTCACATGAGGCCCATCTGTGGCCCACTAGGGTGCTGTCAAGGATATTTACGTGGGTCCCAATTGGGTCTGAACTGGGCTAGAATATGGGTAACAAGTGGGTTTGTCCACGGTTTCCATGGTGGCCCCACATGGGTTTGCCCAAGTAAATTTTTATGGGTGCTAACTGGGTTTTCAGTGGGGCCCATGTGGTTAACTCACATGAGGCCCATCTGTGGCCCACTAGGGTGCTGTCAGGAATATTTACCTGGGTCCCAATTGGGTCTGAACTGGGCTAGAATATGGGTACCAAGTGGGTTTGTCCACGGTTTCCATGGTGGCCCCACATGGGTTTGCCCAAGTAGATTTTAATGGGTGCTGACTGGGTTTTCAGTGGGTCCCACATGGTTAACTTACATGAGGCTCATCTGTGGCCCACTAGGGTGCTGTCAGGAATATTTACCTGGGTCCCAATTGGGTCTGAACTGGGCTAGAATATGGGTAACAAGTGGGTTTGTCCACGGTTTCCATGGTGGCCCCACATGGGTTTGCCCAAGTATTTCAATGGGTGCTGACTGGGTTTTCAGTGGGTCCCAGATGCCTTAATCCTGTAGGAACAATTCTCATCTAACCTGGATGTGAATTACATTCATAGATATGCAATCTTGATCAACAATCCAAAGTCCAGCTTAAAACGTGTTCAAATAAAAAAAAAAAAAAGAGATGAAAAATTTATTTTGCTCAAGGCTTTTATTTAGTAATTTAAAATATTGTCAGGAGTTATTTTTTACCTCACTACAGCAATTATTAGAACTTCATTAATACTCAGGGAATGGTGCCACAAAAAGAAATCTGCAATTATTCACGACATCTTTGAAAATAACAGAAGCTAGTTTACTATAACAAACTTATAAACAGATCTATAAATATATATCTATAGATGCACACAAATAAAGACACCTACATATTTTCCTACAGGTCTATAAATGTATACATCTAAATACTATCTATATAACTTTATACACGTATATTCACATTGATACACAATGTGAATATACACACCTATATAGATCTTTCACAATACATTTTTGTTAAACATTTTTAAAAATAACCTACATGCCATATGCATGCTTAAATTTGAAATCTCTCATACTTTACTGAAACTGTCCATCTTGAAAGACCTCCCAACCTGAGTTTGAACTGGCAGTCTCTCTAGTCTATTTCCACTTCCACTCGGGCTCCAGTAAACCACTTTGAGAGTCTTTGCTGTATGCTTGTGTGATTCTGTAGATGGATAATTTCTTTTAAGTCCCCTGAAATAACAAGCAAAGGTAGAAATTGTATTAGTGTTTCATTTTAGCACAATGTAACATTCATGAGATTTGCATCTCCCCTTCATGGGGCAAAAATGCTTGCAGAGATATGCCATAATCAAAGGACTCTTGAGTCATCATTATTATGTACAGAAACTATATTCTTACTGTAAATTTAAAATATATCCATCTATATAATCAACTACTAGGTTCTATCGTGGTTTTGTGGTTATTTTAATATTGTTTGAAATGCAAACAATATTACCTTCAAATTTTTAAGTTCTTAACAACAGTGAAAGAATACTGTTCAAATAAAACCAAAAATTGAAGACTCAATTTTTAACCTAAAAACATTACTAAAAATAACAAACAAAAGCTAAAACAACCAAAATAAATTAACATATGTTTAAGAAAAGAAAAGTGAAAAAAAAAGTTACTCTGACAATAAAACTGATATTTACCATACAAAACATCAAAGAGACGCAGGTCCAAGAGCTTGTTTCCAATGTTGGCCAAAAAGGTTGAACTGGACTTCCAGTTCATGGGACATGAGGAATCGCACAGCTGGTTGTATTGTGTCATCTAAGGATGCTCCTCCAATTTCTGTAGCCATGGCAACCTTAAGTACAATGACAATAACAGGACAACATTTTGTTTTTGTTCATCAGTTTGTCATTATATCACTCTTATGTGCTTAATTTCACTAACATATTAATCTACCTTTTTCAAATCATTATAAAGTGATCTTCACACGCTGATCCTCTTGAAGCCTGCAAAAATATATATTTTATTAGTGCAATATAACATTTAGACTTTTCAAAAAAATAAAAAAATTAAGGCAAAACAGCCTTTGTATAGATTAACTACTGAAGCCTTATATTGTAAACACTGAACAGTTTTGCAATTATCCTAATTTCTTTGTTAACGTGACAGGACTAAGACAGTAGTATTACTCTTAAGAGAAGTTTAGAAAATCACTATAAATGTAACTAATAAAGCCTAAACATTTCACATATAAAAAATTAGAGCTACAATTAAATATAAGTACATTTCACATAACTGCTAGCTAAATATTGCAAAAATATCAAAAAGAATTTCTTCATCTTTCAATATTTGTTTCAGGCTTGGCCACTGATTGACATGATGGGTTTCAATTTACGGACCCACATGCAGTAACCACACGTTGGATAGGGATGAGTGAGTGATTTATTTACAACAGGACAAAATAAAATCTATTTCCGGACATCAGCGGAAGGGTGAGGACCACTCGACCAGGTTGGCCTGAAACGAGAACTTAGTTATGACGGGCTTAGAATGAGTGATCGGAGGGGAAACAGGAACAGGCTTACTTCGGTGCGGGTCTTTCGAGGCGTGGGTGTGAGATGCCAGGTTCCTGAGAGAGGGTGTGCAGCGGTTCCGAAGGTAAATGCGAGGTGGAATGGAAGAGAGCTGGAAGCTCGAAGGGTGGAGTGGAGGCAGTGGAATCGGCGGAGCGAGCAGGCAGGTATTCACTGGTGAGTTCTCGAATGAGGCGACAAAACCCCTAGGATCGAACAAACACAGAGACCAGGTGACTTCTAGTAGACACAGAAACGTTCTCAGAAAACTGTTCACAACAGGAGAGGCCAGAGTGACTACCGGTGTATGCAACCATCTAGCATACACCAGTAGAATCTTCAGTCAATCTAGCGTAGACTGAAGATTCTGCTGCTCCTCCACCTGTGCCAAGCTCCACGGGCTCCTCACAAAGATCCTCGCTGAAATAAGATGCGACACTCACATACACACACTCTCACACAGGAACCCTGACACTGATGACTACTCTAGACCAACACAATAGCGGCAGATTGAAATAAACTATGACATAACAAAACGCTTTAAAGTGTCACACAACAATTAAAAAAAGAATTTAAAAATATGAACTACAATGCCTTCATCCTATTTACAAAAAACCTTTTAGGCCCAATATACTGAAACCACATGGGCCCCATATAGTGTTCCCATTTCTGTCCCATGCCCGGTTAGCCCACGTTAATGCTGAATTGGGCCCATACATTTAACCCAATTGAGCCAACAATATGAGTCCCATTTCGGTTAACCTTTTGAGCCTCACGCAGTTGGCCCAGATAAAACCCATGCCCTCTTATCATTACCTATATAGCCCAAAGCTAAACGATTCAATGCAGTTTTATTGAAAAAAACGACAATAATAATCTTGCATGGGTCCCAGCCAAACCAGCCTGAATCCATACATGAGACCCACCCATGCATGCTGATGTGACTGAGAAAGATTATTAAAAGCCCAAGTACATAGAATGAAAGCACAATAGTTACTCTTTTTAAATCATACAAATGGTTTTATTGTGTCCAGACACTTTGTAACAACCTCTGCTAGCAACATAGATTCTTCAGTGAACCGATTTCATTCTGCCTCGTTGGCGCTCAAATGAACCAATGGCAGCTCAACAAATAGAATGGCGGCGGTATTTGAAAATGGTTTGGCCCACAACGCTGCGTTTGAAATCGGTCTGCACTAAAATCTGCTTATTGTGTGTAGCTGTGTGTGTTAGCAATATCAGAAAAAGTATCACCCTAAAGAAAAGCAAAAATAACAATAACAATTAAGTCTCTTTTGGGATACTGTCGTCCGATTTGTTACGAGCAACAATTTTTTTAACAAGCGATTTAAAATCTCTCCCTAAAATTTGGTACTAGGTAAAACAGAAGAAATGTACTTACAGATTCTTTCGTAGATCAGCCAACAGGCAGACTCCGCGCCAACGGACTGATGAAGAGAACAGGCTTGATTTTGAAACCGCATATCCATCCGCGGGTCATTTTACGTTTTCCAAGAAACACAAGATTAATTTTTGAGAGTGCTACATCGGTTTAACAAATGTAAAACCGATGTAGCAAAAGTTCTCAATGTAAATAAATACATTTCGTTGTCCTCCTTATTCAAATATGTTTTGGAACTATTTTCTTCAGTGGATGTGTAAAGTGCCTACCGGTACTTCAATTCACCAACCTTTATTGGCAACGGTGCCTCAGAGCAAACAATGAACAAAAAGGTAATTGGAACCAAATGAATCATTAACAGAAATGTTACGTTTTTTTATTTTTTATTTTTATTTATACTGATGACTTGGAAAATGTTTGCAAATATATGAAAAAACAGATGCTCAAAATTTTACTCTTGTCTCTCACTTGCTAATGAGTTTGTTTATTTTCTAAACATTTTGTGATATTTTTCACAATGGTCTGATCTGAACTATTTGTCCAAATAAAAATTTAAATCTTGCTGCGAACAGGCTGCAGTAAACTCTATGGATGTCTAAACATCCAATTGATAAAAAATAATAATAAAAATAAAATAAAAAGTTATTATTATTAAAAATAAAACAAGGACTAAAGCTCAACCATGACCACTCTGTGCTTAATTTTGAGTAAGCACCAGAATATGAGTTTACGTATATATTTCAAACAGATTATTTCAAAAAAATGTTTTAAGACATTCAGACTGCAATAATAAAATGAAAAAAAAGTTAGGGGTTCAAAGTGTAGCAAGAGCAATACTGAACTGGCTTTTGCTTTGACATACAGTGAAAAGTTTGAAAGTGACAGGGTAACCACATTGTCGATTAAAATGTTCTACAATTTTGTCCCATTTAGACCATGAAAAAAAGTACTAGGGGCTACATTTTCCTGCCCAGGTCCAACCCATGTATGGTTAGCCCATGCTCATGTCATGTTAGTTTAATGTGGACAGCCCACATTGGGCTTCTCATGTGGGGCCCATGATACTGAAACCACATGGGCCCCAAATAGTGTTGCCCATTTCTGTCCCATTTCCAGTTAGCCCACATTGTTGCTGAATAGGGCCCATACATTTAGCCCAAATGGGCCAGCCCATAGGGGTCCCATTTTAGTTAACCATATGTGTCCCATGAGGTTTGCCCAGATAAAACCCATGACCACTCATTACCCATATGGCCTACTACAAACCCAAGGGGGGCCCACTCATGCGTACTGGCTTGGAGACTGGACTGGACTGTTCTAGCATAAAATAATAACATGAAAAAATGTTAAGGGTTCAAAGTGTGGCTAGAGCAATACTGAACTGGTTTAAAAAAATAAAGCATTGTAGAATTATTTTTAATGTTTTAATATCCTGGTCCTCTGGAAGCCTATTGTTTGTAAATGAGCCAGGCATAGATATCACACAGTGAACATGTTTTAGGTTCAAACATTAGGAAGACATGGATGTTCTGTTCTATCAGCAAAATATATCCTTGGGTGATCTCCAAGACGAGGTCACCTTCGTCCTGGAGACCTCGACAATGGTCAAGGTCACCAACCTTTACTATCGTCGAGGTTTCCTACAAGGAAAAAATTAAATTCTACAATTTACCTTACATCAACTCCATTAGAGGCCAGCTGAGTAACAATTGCCTTGGCAAAGACTATAAAGCTGACATCTCGGGTAATTCTTTCCAAGTTTTGAGAATCTTGCTCTTGCAGCTTTTGCTTTGACATACAGTCAAAATTTTGAAAGTGACAGGTTAACTACAGGGGTTGGACAATGAAACTGAAACACCTGGTTTTAGACCACAATAACTTATTAGCGTGGTGTAGGGCCTCCTTTTGAGGCCAATACAGCATCAATTCGTCTTGGACAAGTATGGGGCCAAGGGAATGCCATGATATGGCAGCCCACACCATCAATGATCCACCCCCATGCTTCACTCTGGCATACAACACTCTGGCTGGAATGCATCTTTGGGGCTTCTCCACACCGTAACTCTCCCGGATGTGGGGAAAACAGTAAAGGTAGACTCATCAGAGAACAATACATGTTTCACATTGTCCACAGCACAAGATTTTCGCTCCTTGCACCATTGAAACCGACGTTTGGCATTGATACGAGTGACCAAAAGTTTGGCTATAGCAGCCCGGCTGTGTATATTGACCATGTGGAGCTCCCGACGGACAGTTTTGGTGGAAACAGGAGAGTTGAGGTGCACATTTAATTCTACCATGATTTGGGCACCGTGGTTTTATGTTTTTGGGATACAATCCAGGTTAGCACCCAAACATCTCTTTAAGACAGCTTCATCTTGCATCCACAGTTAATCCTGTTAGATGTGGTTCGTCATTCTTGGTGGTATGCTGACATTACCCTGGATACTGTGGCTCTTGATAATCACAAAGACTTGCTGTCTTGGTGAACAATTTGCCCTCTTTTGAACTCCAGTATGTCCCAAATAATGTTATGTGCATTGCAATATTTTGAGCAAAACTGTGCTCTTACCCTGCTAATTGGACCTTCACACTCTGCTCTTACTGTTGCAATGTGCAATTCATGAAGATTGGCCACCAGGCTAGTCCAATTCAGGCATGAAACCTCCCACACTAAAATGAGAGGTGTTTCAGTTTCATTGTCCAACCCCTGTACATTGTTCTACAATTTTGTCTCATTTAGCCCACTTAAAAAAGGACTGGGGTCTACATATCCACACCCAGGTCTAACCCATATATGGTCAGCCCATGCTGATGTCATGTGGGTTCAATGTGGTCTGCCCACATGGGCTTCCCATGTTGGGCCCATGATACTGAAACCACATGGGCCCCATATACTGTTGCCCAGTACTATCCCATTCCCAGATAGCCCACTTAAAAAAGGACTGGGGCCCACATATCCACACCCAGGTCTAACCCATATATGGTCAGCGCATGCTGATGTCATGTGGGTTCAATGTGGTCTGCCCACATGGGCTTCCCATGTTGGGCCCATGATACTGAAACCACATGGGCCCCATATACTGTTGCCCAGTACTATCCCATTCCCAGATAGCCCACTTAAAAAAGGACTGGGGCCTACATATCCACACCCAGGTCTAACCCATATATGGTCAGCCCATGCTGATGTCATGTGGGTTCAGTGTGGTCAGCCCACATGGTCTCCCCATGTTGGGCCCATGATACTGAAACC